AAAAAATATTAACAAATATTTTCCTTTGTATCTTGACTGATATTCCGTCTATCGAGTAAGTCAATAGCCAAGAGAAATCCGTTAATATACGTTAAGGTATCTATACTCATACTCAATTCCTACACTATTCGTTGCAAAGATTTAAAATGTGATAACACCATTCTGATGTAGTACAACATCGTCAAGGAATAAATTCGTAGATTGCTGTATGTTTATGATGAGAGTGACGATTAATAAAAAAAATAGTTTTATACATAGAAGAATTTTCATTGACGAAACAATAAAAATGAAAACAGTCTAAGTCGTGTTGTTAATGTCATAAGTCAGGAACTCACAGAAAGAAATTTGACGTCTATTGCCATCGATTGCTTTGATGACGTACTCAATATGTTTAAAATCTTATGATATTTTTCTTTCACTGATTGCTACTCTTGTTGAATCAACTCGTTAATACTTACTATTGTAAATAGGCTTTTCATGAATATTTAAGAAGGATAATTCAATCTCTAATATTAAAGAGACTACAAAATACCTTTAACTGTATTCGATAACTTCTTGATTTCTTATTTAATCATAACTTATTATACCTGAAAAAAACACACATGTAGATATTAATAAAATTTGATAATAAATTCAATTGATCGTATAAACTTAACGAAACTTTGTTTTAATTTTATTTCGGAAAAAGAAATACACTGAATTTTTAAGCACTGATCGTTTTAAAGATGTTAAAACCGGATAGAGCAGTACTAATTAATAATCCAGGTATTTGTTTATGCCAATGAATTTCTTTTATATCTGTTTGTCCCATATGAATAAACAATAATTGATCTGGTAAATTTTCTAATTGATTATTATTATTCTTAGTAGTAGTAGTAGTAGCAGTAGCTGTTTGTTCTTTATTTTCTTCATCATCTTTTTCTACAGCTAAATCCCATAATGTTATTTGATTATCAGCTCCAGCTGCAGCAAATACACTTGAATCTGTATGATGCCATTGAACACTTGTTATTGATGAACGATGATGTTTAAACGAAGCTACTGGTGTTTTTTTCTAGAATTTAATTAAAATAAAAAATTCGATTTTTAATGATAGGTTTTTTGTACATACAGAAAATTGTCTTAAATCCCAAACTTTAATAAAACCATCATCACCACCAGATATAATAAATGGTTCATGCTTATTCCAACTAATAACATTAACATCAGATGTATGTGCATCAGATTCTGTTAACATACAAGCTTTTGATGGCATAGCACGAATATCCCATATACGAATACTTCGATCAACACTACACGAAGTAAAAACCTTTTGAATAGAAAAAATTTCATTAAAAAATACAAAAAATTAAGTTTTTTTTTTTAAATTATCTTTACACTCTGTTCATTTGGTGACCATTGTATATCTTCAACTGATGATGTATGACCAATATAAGGTCTTTGATCAACAAGCCATTCTGTTTCACTTGGTTTCCATACATGAATATTTTTTGAACAATCACCTGTTGCTAACATTCCTAATATATTTAAAAAAAAACAATATTATTGTTTTTTAAAGTAAATACAATATTTTATTTACCTGGTACCGTTGGTGACCAATCCATTGCAAAACCTAATAATTAAATATTTTTCTTTTTTGTGAAGAAGAATATGTCTTTTTTTTCTCATTTTTCTTACCTTCATTCATATGTCCATTAAATGTAAATAATGGTTTAGGTGATTCTTGATTACGAACATAAGTTGCCATAACAGATGAATCATTAACAGCATGAAGTAATCGACTTAAATCCCATATATGAACTTTGCCTGTATCGGACCATGTTGCTGCTATTTTGCGATCATTAATAACTGTTGACTGACAAAAGAATTAATAATTTTCGTTTTTATTTTATTTGAATATTTGTTTATTATTATTTACTTACTCTTATACGATTAATACAACCAATATGTTTTAATGAAACTGATTCGAATTCTGGTTTCGTATCTTCTTCTTCTTCATCATCATCGTCATCTTCATCTGATTCTGTGTCTGATGCATTTTCCTAAATAGAAAATTTTCTTAAAAATTTTATTTGAAGATTAATATTGATTTTGAAATTACAAAGGAGTTACGAATAGAATAAATTTCTTCATAATTATCTTAATTCCCTCGACTGTAGGGAGGGTCATATGAAAAAAAAATAGTTTGTGTGTGTGTGACTTTGTGTCAAGGTCAAAAAAACATCAAAGATAAATTTTTTTCTCAAGGTTAACGAAAGTAAATTGGGATCGAAGAATCCGAATCTGAAGTCGGTTTCTCGAAATTTTGAATTGAATTTTTTTGGGTTGAGGAAGGGGTTTTTTGAGAAAATAATAATATTTTGTAAAGGTTGACGGAAGTAAATCGAGGTTGGAGAATCCGAATCTGAAGTCAGTTTCTCAAAATTTTGAGTTGATTTTTTTTTGTGTTCAGGAGAAAAGGTTTTTTTGAGAAAATAATTTTTTCTCGAGTGTAGGAAGGGTTATATAAAATAAAATAAATTTTTGTCTGTTTTTGTCAGAGTGAAAGGTGAAACGTCATAAAAAGCGTTGGCTAAGTGTTCGATGCTCGTGCTTTTAATATTGAACTTTCAACCAATTCGATTTTTCAGACTGAAAATTCAGTCAATCCGACATATGTGATAAGTTCTCCCTTAATCAGCTGTTTCATAACTGGATGTCCATGGATGAGGCTTGTTTTTAGCTGAGTTTCTAACTGGTGATGCTTTGTATAGGACTACTCTAGTCAGTGGAACATTTTGGATCTGGAATTGAAGAAAATATGAGTTCGTTGTTCGTAGTTAAAGCGGTGTAGTTTTTCTGACAATACTGTCAAGCAGGAAGATATATCCTGATTGAAATTTTCGTCTAATAGTCGAGAAAGAAGGACATGATGGTGAGATATTGAACTTTTTTATTCCTCGACTGTAGGGAGGGTTATATAAAATAAAATGTGGTTGTATATGGGTATGTGTCAAGGTCAAAAAAAACACATATCTAATAAAGCTTGACCAAATGTTTTCAGTGACGAGGAATCGATTGGCATCATCACTTTTGAAAAATTTTTTATAATTCTTTTTCACTAGATAAGGCGTTCTTAAAAGAAAATAATGACTTTTTATAAAGAAGCAAAGCTATGGAGAAAGTGTGTTCTTTTGTATTTTGTTTCGAGGTATTTTTTCAAATATTTCTATTTTGATTGATTCAACGAGGATATGATGTAATTAAAATATTATACGCTGAAAAATATGAAAAGTTTAAGAGAAAGTTTACGTCTTGCGGTCTTGGTCATGGTCCACAATACCGAGATCAGCAAACCAAAACGGGTTCCCCGCATTTCTATATAGCTTTTGCTCATCCTGTCTAATAGCTTATTGTAGTTGTTTTAATCAAATATTCCCTCGACTGAGGAGAGGGTCATATAAAATAAAATAAGTTTGTTTCTGTCAGGGATAAAAGAACATCAAGGTCAAAAGAACGATCGCCAGTTGTTTTCGATATCTAGATCTTGTAAGTAGGATCTGGAAATACAAATAGTTTTAGACAAAAGTGAAAATTTCAGAGGAAGAAACAACATCGTCGGACTACGGTCTCAGAGGATTGGGGCATGGGTTTAATTCAATCACGACAATCGACTGCGAGCTGTTTGCTTCAGTAAATCTTAGAAATTCAGAATGAAAAATAGAAAGGTCCGAGTCTTTTACAAAATGGTCATCACTGACAATACTATAGACAAATTTTTGTCGGTGCATGTGTTGCACAATAATTGTCAAAGCAGAACTCAGAAAACGACAACACATGATAACAAGATTGAATTCCGTCGAGGATTAAGCGAGTCCTGCCGACGAGCGTTACTTATATGTAAATCAAATAATTGAAACATCATTGTAAACCTATCAATCAAAATCTAATATTGACTGTTAGATCTTAAAATAATTTTTTCATATATTCAATATCGACATCAATAGTATTATCCTACTGTAAACGCGAAGGTGACTCTTAATACATGTTTATACCTGTCGTATCAAAAACTCCAGCCGTACTTGAATAAATCTACAGCAAGTAAACAACGCATTGTTTATATGTTTAGTACAAAAAAAAACATCCGTCTTTATGCTAGGTTCTTTGCGAGGCGATAGCGAAACTGTTTTTCTGCTCTTCATCGATCTCTGTTTCTGATCATGTAGCTTCCAAACATTCTCAAACTTCGACATGCATGATTTCTTGTCTACATTTTAAGTCATTATTAACTCTCATTGCAAAAAATCATAATCCAATATCTATAGTTCTATATTCGAATTATTAGCTATCACAAAATTATGATTGTCTTGATTCTTAAAATTGTCTTTGAACATTTTTGATATTTGTAAATGAAAAAAAATATATTTGAGTTTATCTCTTATTGTGATAAGATACTTCGCTTTTACCAAACACCTGTTTCAAAATAACTTCTTCTTTCATCCGATTTTGAGAAATACACATAGTTTACTACTGATACAATCAGAGATTGGTCATTTCGACGTTCGATTATGTAACATTTGAACAGTTCTTCAGTTATTAGTAAAAAACTTTCGCTTCCATTGTTTCTCATTCTACACGTCAGTGATAGAAAATACCTCGATGCGAACTTTATTTTCTTTTTCAATGTCATTTTCATCTACATACAATAAAAGATTATGTTAATACATAACAGTCCTCAAGAATTTACAGTAGTCACGAATGCATCTTATTCTTTCACTTCAAGATGTAATTAAAATTGTGCAACCTAATTCAATCTCTTATAAGGACAAGCTCATTATGGAAGAGATTTTTCAATAAATCTTACTTTTAAAGTTTTAGTTAAATTTGACATTTTAACAACCATAACACTATTTCGATCAGATTTTTCTGCTTGTGTTCCACAAACAATATATATTGTATGTGGATATTGATTTCTATCCATACCCAAATTATCAGCTAATATATCAAAACTTAAACATGGATCACCTAGAAAAACAAATTTCATTGATAAATATTTTATTCAATCATTATTATACACATACTTGCCTGTTTGTGCTTCATGAAACATTTCATATGCACTTTCTTCTCGAACAAGTTCTTCATCTTCATCTAATGGATCACCTGGTAAATAAACTTCTTGAGTAGTATGATCATTTTCATTAGCATTTATATCTTCGGATTCCATATCTTCATATTCATTATCTTCTTTGATTTTTTTTTCTAATTTTTTTTTCTTATTTTTTCCTCTTGTTTTAACCATGTTTTCTTTTACGATCTTAAAAGAAATACTATGTCAATTACAATATGGAATAATATGTCATTTAAAAAAAAAATGTAAACAAAACAACACCAATGAGTATTTATCAATATTGAGAATAGAATGCAAGAATGAATATAATAAACGAGATGAGAAAAAAAATTGCTTAAAAAAAGAAAAAGGTTCGTTTTGATTTTTTTTTTTTTGTAAATGCATATTAGTCATGTTTTATCTCTTCCTCTTGTTCGACATTAACAGCTGATGATTCTTGAAGACTTTCGGCTTTTAATTTTTGAAATGCAGCATAAGCAGCTGCTTCTTTAGCTTCCTTCTTTTTATTACGTTTTTCATAAACTAATCTATAACATAAGAATAAATTTAAATAAAGAAAAAGAAAAAAAGTTGAAATTCAAATCAACAAACCGATTATTAATAATACGTGTAATAATATCTTGTGTTGACATTGAATTTCCACTATCAACTTGTTGAAATATACCCAAACCTTTTGGTACTTCATATGGATCACGTCCATCAACATCATTATCATAGATTGTTTGACCATGAATAACAAGTGATACTTTAAAATGATTTATTAAATCCATTGTAACAGCATACGGTGCACCAATAACAACTTCATCAACATACTATAATAAATATGTTTTCTATTTTTCTACGAAAAAGAAAACAATCTAAATAAATATTTTATCTTACGCGACAAGCTAATACACTTAATACACGTTCATGAATATTCATTATTGGTTGATTACTTCCTTTATATCGATTAACAACCTGAATACACAAACAAAAAAGAAAAGAAAAGAAACGATAAGATATTTATTTTATATTATTAATATAAAATAATTGTTACTCGATCAGAATGTATACCAGCAATAAGATAATCACCCAATGCTTTAGCTTTTTCAAGAAAATCAACATGACCAACATGAAATAAATCAAATGCACCAGCAACATAGATTACTTTATCACCAGGCTAAATAATAATTTTAGTTTAAAGTCTAATCTTAATATGTAAGTCATTTTTTGTTACTATCAAGATTTACAACTAAAGAAAACAAAGCACTTTAAGGATTTTTTTTTTATAATTCAATTTACCAAAACTTATTTTGAGAAGTATCAATAGTTTTCAAGATATTTAGTATTAAAACGGGATTTATTCGTCTAAATAGAAACGTGTAATGTTGGTGTAAATATTGAATAGTGAGTCACCAACTCTATCAATATATACTCTTTTTGTAAAGATTTATATCCACTACACTGAGCCGGTGGTCAGTAAACTGAATCTGCTCATCTTTTAAACTAATCCATTCAGAATGGTTTACATATCTTCAAAGTATAAGCTTAGCAAATGTCAAATACCAATAAAGATTGTTCAATCAATTTTGAAATAATACAAATTATCTTGCAAGTCTCTATGTCTACCATATATTATTATCGATTATTCATTCTTTCTACTCTAAAATATGATATATATTTATAGATATCTGACTGAGTTTTCTATTTAGTAAATTCTATTATTTACTTTTGGTTCTCGACCATTGGAAAATTGTATAATTTTATTTGTTGTTGCAAGAAATTGTGAAGCACCTGTCCATGGACTAACACTTTCTTTACATAAACTCATTCGACGCGTATTTTCTCGATCAAGTAATGCATCATCAGGTTCATGATGAGTCTTTGTAAGAAGTAACATTCTTAATAATTATAATAATAAGCTTAACAACAAAAATTTTTTTATCATTTCAACAAACCTTCCAACAAGATCAGTTGTTGATATACCTTGTGTTCGTTTACATTCCCGATATCGACCAGCTGCTTTAACAATATGATATGTATCAATACCATCAGCAGTTACCTGAAAATAAAAAAAAGATTTCTTATCAAAGAAAAATAATAAGCTAATCATTTTATTTTTACTGTAATATCATCTCCATGTACACAAAAAGCACAATTATATTCTTCTAATGTTTCAAGTGTTGTTACATAGGGAGCATTTTCAACAACTTGATCAACCCATTTTATAGCTCGTACCATTTTATATCTTTCTTGTTCTGTAAATACTGGCGGACCTTTATGTTTAGTAATTTCCTCTAAATAAAATAATAGATTATAATAATTATTATTATTATTTTTTTTTTGTTTTCAAAGATTTCAATAGATATAAAGACAAACCATCTGAATGAACACCAACAATTAAATAATTTCCCATTTGTTTTGCTTGACGACATGCATTAGCATGACCAAAATGTACCATATCATAACTTATATAAATCCAAGAAATATTTCTTCAGAAGAAAAATTGAAATACTCACCAACCATCCATCCATACTCGAACTTCTTGATCAGGTTTTTTTCCAGTTATATATGATGTGCCCATATTTTATTTATTTATCTAAAAAAAAAAAGTGATTTTAGTCTATAGTAAAACAAATATTTTACAAATTAATCATTGCTACAATTAAATTCGCAAAAAAAATCAGATACGGTAATGAGCATGATTTCGTATTAATCATTTGTTCATTCGTCATAGTTGAGAATACAATAGGAATTCTAGAATCAAATCCTTCATGAAATGTTTATTACTAACAAATATTTCTATTAAATTCAATTGAAAAAAAATTTTATTCAATTTTTACATACTAGTCGGAAGATTTTTAGAAAAAAAATAGAAATAGATGTCGCACTATTATCGTTCCTATGATACAGTTCCATTGCAATACACAAATAAATAAAAAAAAAGCATTACTAATATTGCGTAATAGAATACACCATAAAGTAAAAATAGCCAAAGATTCTAGTTTAATGTCCTAAAACCAATACATGGTAGTTGATGTATAAATGAATTTTCAATAATATATATGACAACTTTCAAAATCTACAATTCTCTCGAATTATTCAAGTATTTTCTAATTTTTATAGTTGGAAAATTAAACAACTTGTCAACATGATGACGTGTTTGCTTTTGCACTCTTAATAACTTTCAAAAGAAATTTTATCCATTCCGATGTATACTATTTTGTATATCTTAATGAACCAGCACTGGTAGCTGCAGGAAAAATATTAATGAAAATTGATGATTGATAAGATTCTTTAGGGTAGGTGTATTCTCGTCACCAACAGTTACCCATACCTTCTTTGTTGGTCAATATCAATGAGACAATATGAAATGATACAATCAATTCGTACTTTCAAGTGTCGAAACGAAATGCGTTACGATTTTTGAAAGTTCGCAGCATAGTTGAATGTACTAAATATTCCTTCTACGATTGCATCTTTGTTTCTTGTCAAGGCAAGTACTTAGCATTTCCAAAAGAATATTATACATATTGAAGATTACTCAGGTGATGAAGAGCTGAGAGTTATAATGCATATAGTGGTGTGCAACTCTTCTTTTTATCCATCCTCGCAAGTACACTCAAAGATTGACCTTCTAATACCAAATAATTTTTTCGTCAACTAATAAAAGCGATAAAACATGATGCTGATAATTTCACAAACGTCAGTTATAATATTCCTTTGCTATAAGATAAATAGTTAAATAATACACGTGGAAAATCATTAGTAATTTGATAATAATGTATATGAATATGAATCAATATGACATTGAGCACTTCTTTCATTTGAAAAATAATGTCATATTGTCACTGTTGACTAATCAAGGCGAATATGATGACGCTTTAGATTACTTTTTTCGTTCGCTGAAAAACAACTAAAAAAAAAAGATTATAATTTTGTATTTGATTCTCTCGAAAAATCTTTGAACATGAGAAAAAAATCTTTGATGATATCAATGATGTTAGTCTAATTAGTACTCTTACATATATCAACTTAGTTTTGATTAATCAACAAAAAATATAATGATGAGTTGATTTATTCTATGCATGTACTTAATATTGTACATAAACATTTAACAGATTGTTTAACTCTTACTGGTATTTTTTATTAAGAAATGAAAAATTATCATAAAGCATTTGAATATTTTGAAGCTTCAAAAAATGAAGAAAAAAATCCTTCATAGCCTAATCTTATTCAGTTAGCTCGCAATTATGATAATATGGATATCTGTTTGTCTTATCAGAATGATCATAGTACTGGATTAAAGTATCGAATGAAAGCTGTTAAAACAATCGATGCAGTTTCTCCTTGTGTTCAATATGCTAATTGAATACATACTATTGCGAATGTTCTTTGTCAAAAAGAATTATTAGCTGAAAGCTTAATGCGACTAGGTGGTGTTGACATCGAAAAAGAAAAACTTCACAACGGACAAAGTAATAAACAATAAAAACTTGAAGCTTGATTTTACTATGAAAAAGCATTTGATTATTTATCAAAAATAGAATCATTTTAATTGTGTTTATATCTTAAACTGTATTAGTGCCATTTATGGCAATATTCGTAACCATTGCGTTGCTTTTAAACATTACAGACAAGTATTGGAAATATCCAAGAAATATTCTCTATCCAATGATTCTGTCAAAAAGACAATTGAACAAAATATTGCTCGAGTTAAACGTTGTATGAAATAATAAATTGTGAACTTACATACAATACTGGCGAAAAGTATTCCTTCTTGATTCTCAGCACAAATCACGCTGAAGATCTGAAAATTTGTGAACACAAACCAAGGCACTTCTTACGACAAGAAAAGTGTGTAGATTTGAAAGGGAGCTCACAGCCTCACCTGAGAGCTATCAAGCCTCAAAGTTTGACTTCTCGAATGTTCTTCTTCAATATAAAAATATAATCGAAAAATATGTTATAGTCGATTCGATCAAGTTGTAAACGCTGAAGACAAATATAGTCATCAACGAAAGAAACAAGTGTGATTCAGCTGTGAATAATGTGTAAGTTTTAATAAGACTCAGATAAAATAGAGGCCGTAATAGTTGGCATACAAATTTCAATAGGGGTCCCATTTGCAAGTAAAAGCTTTTAAGTATTGAAATGAATAAACTCTTATTACGAATAATTTGCTCTTCGAT